CACTCACTCACTCACTCACACAGACAGACACACACATACACAGTGACCTATTTTTCACTCGTTCGTAGGTGCACAAAACAAGACAAGCTAAAGGATGTGGTGATAATCACTTGACCTTGTGCACACACATATGCGTAAGCTCTGTTACATGAGCTTAACTGCACTGCTTTTCTTGTGGTTCTTTTCATACTGCTGGAGGTTTTAATGAAGCCATATTGTGACAGTAAAGAGGTACAGTCTACACTCGCTTACTGAATCAGGTTTTTTCAGTTATGTGGCACCTCTACGTTCCAAGTCTGTCACTTCATCTTTTATAAATGACACACTGTAACACTAACTTAATATCTTAAAGCCCATAAACATACATTACAACATTATATGGAGAATTCACAATATTACAATATTATATGGAGAATTCATCCAATTATAAAATAAAACTAACCATTTAAAATATAGTATTACAAACACAGTGCAACCAATGTAGTGTTTCAGACTGACAATTGTCTGAGTACCCCTTAATAAAGTAATAATAAAAAAATAAATCAGTTCTATAGACCTTTTTCACAGCAGCCATTTTGACATGAAATAGTAGGGTAAACACTGCTTTGAAAAAGGTCTATTATCATAGTCTCAGAGGGCTGACAGAGCCCTTTCATTGTCCCTATAACATCACAGTAATAGATTCCTTCAGTATGCATGGTGTAATGTAAAGCTTGTGTCTTAGTGTTTATTGTAAATCTTTATCTCTAAATCTGAAGATTACATTAAAATGACCCCCCTAGTTAGGGATTAATGTAAACCTTGAACAAAAATGTGTCCATAGCAAACAACATAGAAAATAGTTGAGTACAAGTCTAGTTTGCATATTATGTGTAAAACACATATCCTGATCTGATTATTTTATATTTTTTACTGCCTGTTGACTTAGTTAGTTTGTGTATGGCTGCTTGTGTTTCGACAAAATTTAAGAAGTTGGCTCTTCTGCTAAATAGAAAAGGAAGTTCTGTGTTCATGTGTTTATATTCCTTAAGGAAAATATGTTTGTATCTGTACTGAATACCCAGCCGTATTCCGTCAAAAAACTGCATCATCTGTTTGTAATTTAAGACTAAACTTAGAGATTTATTCACATGTGGTGGTTAACTTTATGGAGGCCGGAATCATTTTTAGGTAGTGTAACCAAATCCAGTTTGCTTTTACTTAAATGTAAAATCACAAGATCTTCTAGTTGCTTTTTTTATCTGATCAGTCCAACGCCCAAAGATATAACATTTTGAATATATAAAATCTAAACAAGCAGGAGATCTTCACATAAGCAGAAACTGGACCTAGAGAAAGTCTGAAATTTGTTTGTGATAAATCTTTTAAACAAGGACGACAAAGTGCTTCACAAACTGAGGGAACATACATCTAAAGTAAATGAAATAAAAATAGATGAAATGCTGAGAGGACAGACTAAATCTGTTGTAGACTGATGAGCTTTAAGCCACCATTTTACATCACAGAAAAAGCAGCACGGAGTCGCATTATATAATACTTCCTCTCTTCATGACACCGATATGCTCTACATAAGCGGAGCTGTTATTTAAACTCTCAGTTGTCACAATACTGGCATCTTCTCTGATTAGCACTGTCATAGAGGACAAAGGGCCTCGGTAATGAAATGAGAGAGGATGAGTTGAAAGTATTTGTGGAGAAGCCAAACTTAAAAGCGCGTACATTAACCAAACAGATGTAGCGTCTTCTCTCGCTGTATTTTTACTCCACTCACCCTTATTTTAAGTTATCATATCAGTCAGCATTATGTCAGCTAACAGATGTGGTCCTTATTTTGATTCCAGAATAGATATGATCAGTCGCCCACAACAAAAAAAATATAAGCCCAGTAATATTGACAGCCTGCGCTGTGAGAATATGAGCTGTAAACATTAATAAATACATGTATGATTTGTTTTTATCCTCGCTCGGTTGTCTCGCTGTTTAGTGTGCAGGTGTGTGTTTTCACAATCTGATTTGTGCTTACAAAGGTTTTGCTGTTCAGCGCCAGTCACGCCTCGACACGCCGTCTCTTATTTTTACCCTCCATAAGATGGTGATCGACCTGATCTCTGTCTTCTCTCTCTGGGAGTAGGAGGAGATGAGAGTTATTTTCAACACTGTATGTATGTATGTGTGGGTGGATGGGTGGACTACGTTGTCTTGTGCTGCTTGCTGCAGAAAGAAGCCCCACACCACAAATAGACGCGAGGCACGTCGCAGTATATTTTCTCACGGTGTGTTGTAATGTGAGCAGATTGCAGAAAAGCAACAGTGTGGCTTATCACCAATAACTCAGGTGGTTAACTAACAGCTTGTGTTGAAGTTCAGTAAGAATGAATAGCAGTGAATTTGGTCTTACTATAGAGTTGTTTGGCTTTAAATATAAAACTCCATTCCCAAAGAAACTCCAGATCCCCTAGTGACTGTTAAATAAACATCCTTTTTTTCTATGTGTGTTTTAGGACCTCAACAAGCGCTTGTCGCTGCCTGCTGACATCCGAATTCCTGATGGTTACCTGGAAAAGCTGCAGCTCAGCAGCCCACCCTTCGACCAGCCGCTCAGCCGACGCTCCCGCCGAGCCTCGCTGGTCAGTGTCTGTTTGTGTCTGTGTGTGCTACCTATATTGGTGTGCGCTGATGTTACCAGACTCCCTCTGTGCGAGTTACCATGGCAACTGGCCTGGTGTGAGATCAGGATGGATTAATCTGAAGTCACAAGCGCTCACCTCCTGCCTTTAGCCCATCAAATTAGATCATAATACTCAGCTGTGGCGTGATCGTGCAGGTTTGTGTCGGAGGTTTATGCTTTTAGAAGTTGCCAACAATGACACTGCAGGTTAAAAAAGTTATTGCTAGTAATGGACTACATTTCTTGCTCTTTTCCTTAAGGATCACGACAAAGATACTGCATTTCTTGCCCTTTTATTTTTCTCCATCTGTCCTGACACAGAGGATGCCATGTCAGCTCTCATGTTCCAGCACCTACAATGGAAAATGATAGTTGAGAATGTTTCATTGATCTCCAACATTGACTGTATATAGACGGACGACATGACAGCTCCCCAAAAATGAAGCCCAAATATCTCGATACTTGGTGTCTGGTTGCAGTATAGTTCATAAACTCAGCCCGCTCCATGTTAGTGGATAGGACAAAGTAAACATCAAATACATTTTTCCCAAAGATGGTTTCTGTCATTTTAGGTAGCTTGATTTTTCTCAAGTGTTAATTTTTCGGACAAGTTTGCTTTTAATTAGTTATTTGATGCTATAAAAAGGGGGTTTCATGTAATGATTGACAGCTCGCGATTGAATTGGTTGGGTGTTTGGAAGGGGCTTCAACATCGTGGCTAACTACTGCACAGACTCTGGCTCAAGATGACGTCACCAGCGCAAGATTGCAGCACCCGTATCAGGGATATTATTGCTTCATTTTTCTACTGTGGGAGGAAGTGGAGATGCATCGCCCACTTTTATATACAGTATATGATCTAAAACAGGGGTTTTAACAGTCTAACTGTTAAACAGCTACCACTGTATCAATTTGATACTGAAAAAAAAAACTTAAAGGACTTCAGAGACCATGATATCCTTGAAAAGTGTATGTCACATTAAATCATGTTTATCATGTCTGTGTGTTCAGTTTTGACTGAGTTATGACTCAAAAGGAGTGATTTTTGAAGCAAATTGCAGAAATGAAGTGTGAAGGATTTACGTTTTAAAAGTAAACATTTAAGTCCCTCACTGTTTAAAAACTTCTGATCGAAGACATTGACTGCACAAGTCAGGTTTTGTTGTCCGTCCTGAAACAAAGCAGGGAGACCCAGAGCTGCTTTTGGTACTATCGCACTTATACACAGAGAAATCCTGCACCAGCAGTAACATTAAAACAGAATACAACACAACTGCATTGTGTTTTGAGGTTATATGAAGGAGTATATAAAGGTTTAGAGCCTTCAGTGGCTGAATGAAAAAATACTGCAGTAATCTGTTGTAATGAGCTTTACTCAGGTGTTGCAGGAACAGTAAAACCACAGATTGAGCAGATTGCAGAATCCAAAATGTCTTTTTAATGGCCTTTTAACTTCATCCATGATAAATTCTGACTTTTCCCTCAGTCGGAGATTGGTTTTGGCAAGTTGGAGACGTATATTAAGCTGGACAAACTGGGAGAGGTGAGGAAGACATGCAATCCCATCTGACACTATTATGTGTTTCACAACTCGTGTTAATTCAGTAATATTGAACCAGTGTTATGTGTTGCGTTCAGGGAACCTACGCCACAGTATTTAAAGGACGCAGTAAGCTGACAGATAACCTGGTGGCGCTGAAGGAGATCCGACTGGAGCACGAGGAGGGAGCACCATGCACTGCCATCAGAGAAGGTAATCAGCCTTGTCTCCTACACAAAACTCCTCAGGTTCTGCACTTTAATGTCACATGAATGGAAATAAAACTTCATATTGGTAGTTGCTTTTCTTATAATGATCACAGACTGGAGGTTGAACTGTAATTCATCCCACTTTTTAGTTCACTGTTAAAAGGATCAATTCAACCTAATTACAAAAAACTTAACATGGTGGAGGCTAAAGGAATTTAATATGTGTTGCTTAGACATAAAAAATAACTCAATAGCAACATCCCTTTCCAAAAACAATGTAAGATATATATTATAGTAATATCAAATAATCGTTGTTTGTAATCAAAAAGTGTGTAAACATCCGTCTGTCTTTGACTCTGTAGTGTCGTTACTGAAAGACCTCAAACACGCCAACATCGTGACGCTACACGACATCGTCCACACTGACAAGAGCCTCACGCTCGTCTTCGAGTACCTGGTAAGACCCACTGCTTCCCTGTGTTCTCAAGATGGTCTTTGTTGAGAGCTTTACAGACAAAATGCTTCTAAATTTTTATTCAATTTCAGCGTTTTTTGTTTTCCCAACTGTTTTTACATGCATTTCTTATAATTTTTTTCACTTTAGCAACCATATAAGGTTGATTTATTACTTTATTTATTTATGTATTACTTAACGAGATTGTGCATTACAGACAAGGAGTCACCACTACAGACCAAGACAGGGTGTACATATGATGGGAAAAAATGTCAATGTAGAGATGTTCTAGAGAGGTGTTATTGTATCTACTTCCTGTTTGATGGTGCCATCTCTCCCTGCAGGATAAGGATCTGAAGCAGTACATGGATGACTGTGGAAACATAATGAGCATGCACAATGTGAAGGTGAGGACAGCTATTACTAATTTTTACACTTTTTATTCTGCTCTCTTTACTTTGTAATGTTATTTTCCTTTGCTGTGGGAAAACATTATCTCTTCTCAACCCTGGGAGTGTGTATGCCCTTTTTTTGTGTGTTCAATAGAGATGAGAGTGTGTAGTGTTGGTCCTTTGACCAAATAGTCCCGGGAACGTAACTCTTAGAGCAGGGACTAAAAGTCTCTTTTGCATATTTCTGTTTGCATTTACAGCCCATCTGAGGGAGTTCAGTCACCATAGCTGCAAGAGAAAAAAAAACAGCTGTGAAATCCGGGCAAATTAGACCAGTAAAGGATACACAAAATCAATTCTGATAAGTTTCATTAATAACATCAAGTTTTTACACACATTTTTCCAGATCTTCCTGTTCCAGATTTTGCGAGGGCTGTCGTATTGTCATAAGAGGAAAGTTCTCCACAGGGACCTGAAGCCCCAGAACCTCCTAATCAACGAGAGAGGAGAACTCAAACTGGCTGATTTCGGTAAGAGGAACCACAACAGCAGCAAGTACTGTCTTTAGGGCAGTGGAGAATGGAGGAGTGGGAGTATTCCTGCAGTCCTTGTAGTACATTTGTGAGGGAAAATACATTTTCAGTTGGACTCTTTACAGAAATAATGCTTCTCTCCCCTGTAAACAATCCTAATGTCTGTTTTTGTCTTTGGCGGACTGGCAGGCCTGGCGAGAGCCAAGTCTGTCCCGACTAAAACCTACTCCAACGAGGTGGTGACTCTTTGGTACCGGCCTCCTGATGTCCTACTGGGATCTTCTGAGTATTCAACACAGATCGATATGTGGTACGAGCCTCACTGGAACCCTGCAGCTCACACTACTAAAACTTACAGTACAGGCATGATTGTTATAATATAATTAGTGTATTAATCAATGTGTTGTCAACAAACACCACCACGCAAACTTGCATTTTTCCGCTTTTAAACATGTTTGTGGGAAAAATGTATAATTTCAGTTGCATTCATTATGGTCTTAAAAGGTTCTTAATATTCACCTGTTGAAACCTGCAGAAACTGAATAGTAAGAATAAAACATAATCCATCATAAAAATAGAAGTTAGTTTAAGCCTTAGTGCTATTATTGCTACTTTTGCTAATATGGCTTCTGTTGCTCCTAATAATACTCTCCTGTCTCTTGGTATGAGATACAGCTGAAACACTTAGTTGGTTAATTGTTCAGTTTATTGTAGTCCCAGATTGCCAAAAGTTGCATCAAAATTCGTTATAAACATTATTTAGGTTCAGTGGGACTTGCATTTTCCAAGGATATCAGTATCACCGATGTTTATTACAAATAAATGTATATAAATCCACATTTTATCCATCAAACAATTATCAGTCAATGAAGAAAATAATTAGCAGATTAATAGATAATGAAAATATTCCTTGGTTGCAGCCCTAGAATTTAACTACTATTCTGTGTGTGTGTGTGTGTGCAGGGGTGTTGGTTGCATATTCTATGAAATGGCTGCAGGTCGGCCACTGTTCCCCGGCTCCACCGTGGAGGATGAGCTCCACCTCATCTTCAGGTTACTGGGTGAGTGACTCCCGCCAGGCCAGATCACCATGGCAACCCAAATGTCTCGCCGCACCTATGATTACCTGTTTAACCAAACGTGGCTAAATACTGTATATCTGAGACGCTGTGATTCTGTGACTTCAGGCACGCCCACAGAGGAGAACTGGCCAGGAATCTGCTCCATCGAAGAGTTTAAATCCTACAACTTCCCCAAATACAAACCGCAGCCGTTAATCAACCACGCTCCCAGGTACTGTGGACTGTGTGTGTGTGGCCTGTATGCTCCTGTGTATGCATCTGTCTTTGTTTTTTTTTCCTCAACTCTTTTGCATGTATACAGTAATGGTGTGTATTCATTAATGTGTGTGTGCGTGCCACAGGCAGGAAATCCTGTGGAACATTTCACAGACAGCCATCCACTTCCTTCCTCCCATGAGCCCCCACATTCCCATCAGGCCGTGCTGCAGGCAGACAGTAAACTGTTGGCTCTTCCTTTTTTTTCCTTTAGGCTGGACGGTGAAGGCATTGAGCTGCTGCTGTCTTTCCTCAAAGTGAGTGTACTTCCTTCATAATACCCAGAATGCTATTCAATCCACTGCATTACACCCAATGTTCCCTCCTCTTTTTGATTTTCATTTTCTTATCTTTTGAATCCCTACAAAAGAGAGAAATTGAAAATGCATGAATTTTCATTCTTGACCTTTGGGGATAGTATTTCAAGCACATCGCTTCAGTGAAGCTGGTACAGGTGTTGTCACACAGCTGACAGCTGGTTAAGATAGACCAGGGGCCGGTCGGGGGCCCAGGAAAGATCAGGGAGACCGCTCATATCCGACATCCAAGACCGTTCTTGGACAGAGACACATGATCACGCTATTATCATTATCATGTGACCAAAAGTTCACATTAGGTCATTGTTTCATATCTTTATCCATATCGTCAGTTCAAATAAGCTTTATTGACATGCATATTAATATTACATTTTTTGCCAAAGCTAAACTACATATTTATGGCTTAAGAATAAATGATCTACTGTCAGCTATGTAAAAAAGACATACCTGCACCTGAAAAAAAGAAACAACAGTTGAAAACAGTTTATAAATAAATGAAATTACAAGTGAAAGTCGAGATTAATTGTTAATTTAGGATCTGGGTCCTATGTACATGTGCTCATGTCACAGAGTTAAGTTGAGATAAGACAGAAGATCTGGAAAAGGTCTGAAAAAATTAGTTTGATGTTAAAGTTTGGTTTGATGGGACTCTAAAAAGGGAAACTGAGAGGCAGGATCTTGAACTGTGGATGTCACACTGAATCGACTTTGCTTTCTTGCCAACAACTGTTTGTTGGCAGGCTTTTTTGTTGAGTAACAGTGATTTTTCTGTTTGACAGTAAAAGAAGAATACTAACAAATAAGACAAAGTGTAAGAACTGATTGGATAGAAGCTCTATCAATCATCTATCTATCTTTCATGATAAATTTGCATTTATTCTGGGAATTCATCCCTTCAGTACCAGTTGTAGACAGCAGGAGGCACAGCCCTGGCACTTTTTTTCCTTACATGGTATTGTCAAGGAACATATTCTTGGTTCCTGTTTCTGATGTGTTTGTCACAGTTTATCTGGCTGAGTCACTAATGGCAGACACAACCGCCACTGCATTATCTGCTAAACTCACAGATTGGTTGATACTTCCTGTTTCTCTCTCCACAGTACGAATCCAAGAAGAGGATTTCAGCTGAAGAGGCAATGAAACATTCCTACTTCAGGCAGCTCGGGATGAGACTTCGCACACTGCCTGAGAGTGAGCACACACACAACTGAATAAAGCTGCAGTCTGTTGTTTTTGGGATTTCCTGCCATTTGCTGTAGACTGAAGTTCTCCTCTGTTTTGTAGGTGTATCAATATTCACATTAAAAGAAGTGCAGCTGCAGAGAGACCCTGGCTACAGGAACTCCTCGTATCCAGAGTCAGGTGGGTGGGGATCACATCCAGATGCTTCAGCATTTAACCTTGTTAGATCATTAGATAGAAAAATAAACGTTTCTTGCTTAAAGGCCCAGTGTGTAACATTTAGGAGGATCTATTGGCAGAAATGGAATATAATAATCCTTGGTATGTTTTCATAGGAATATGATTCAATAGGAATTGTTACATTTTTGTTACCTTAGAAAAGGGAGTTTTTATCTACACAGGGAGCGGGTCCTCGTCTATGGAGGCCGCCATGTTGAACCACCATGTTTCTACAGTAGCCTAGAACAGACAAATCAAACACTGGCTCTAAATAAGGGAAATGTATTTGTTTCTCGGCCAACATAGTTTCTCCTACACGCTTGGAAGGCCAAGCTGTATTCAAATGGTTGCAATCTGCAACTTTACCGCTAGATGCTACTAAATCCTACACACTGGTCCTTTAAGATGATCATGTGACAATCATCAGAAAGCAGGTAAAATGAGGCTGATGAAGGATGATAGTTGCAGATTATTAAATAGGGTCCAGACTGCAGCAACAGAGGCCGAGATATCCTGACTTTCAGTTCCTAGTGTGGGTCAAGCTTCAAAAACACTGGATCCATCTTGTAACCCACACATCCAGTTTGTCAAGCAGATATTCTTTAAAAACACCTACAGTCTCAAGCCAAACCCCAGATGATCCTGATGGCTCCTTGTTAGTAGGACTCCTTGTTACAAGTAAACTGAACTTCATATGTAACATCAGTGGCACCATAACTGTTAATAAAAATAGATCTACTGATGAAGGCTTTGTATAGCATCTCTAATGTATTATGCATTATGGGTATTGTCTCTTTAGACTCTGTCCTTTTCTTCCAGGTAACGGCAAGATCAACAGGAGGCAAAGCATGCTCTTCTAATGTCTGATTAAGAGGATGGTCGACTGCCCACCTTTTTCATCCCTTCCCACCAACCTCTCGCATGAGCCCACCTCCCCTCGGAGTGACCCCCCCCTCCCCTTACCTGCACACACACCTCTCTGAGCGAGTGACTCTGGGTTGAATCTATTTGGAGACTGTGTTTATTTATTGGGGGGCGGGGTGAGGTTGAATTTTTTTGCTGCTAAACTACTACTGTATGTATTTAACACACCATGTGTGTGCGTGTATGTGTGTGTGTGTGTACATGATGTGAACTTGAGACGCCATGCACAGTTGAGCAGTCAGTAAGTTTACTGTTGTGTTTCTACGGACTATGATTCTCCGGCTTCATTTGAGTTAGAATTCCACTGATGTTGATGTCGACGCTGTGATCCAAGTTGTTGTTCTTGTTGTCGTGCTTGGAGACCGAACGCTTCAGTTTCTTCAGAATTTTTTTTTTTAATATAATTATGTATAACTATATATATATTTGGAGTTTATGTTTTGTTTTTCTTCGAGCTTCCGTGACTGAACTCTACAACATTTCCAGGTTTAGAAAGACTAGGACAGCTAGATGGTCTTGGTTGAGGAAAAACGGTTCCTCTGGATTCCTCGTCGTCATTTTTCCTAAACATTTCCGTCGGATTCTTCTTCTAGAGGCCCTGCTGCCCTCTGGGGGGGGTTACACCGAGGGTCAAAAAGCAGGACTGTTTGTGGACAGTGGTAACAGTTTTGGTCTGTGGGTTAAAGAAGAGTCCAAACAAACAACAAAAAAAAAGAACATGAAACTATCTTTCGGTTCTTTTGTTTTTTTGGCCATTCTGGCTCAGCAACGGGACCAAAACTGAGGTGGAGGGGGGAGGAAAACAGTTCAGAAGACGATTAAAAAGCACGGATGAAAGAGGAGGAATACTGGAGCTGAACAGGAAGTCATGTGACGTCCCACAGGAAGCCAGCAAGCCTTCCCTAAAACCCCTCACCAAACTGCCAGGACTTCAGTGCTTTTAAAAAAAAATGCAAGCTACACTTTCTCGCTCTGTGTGCATTTGGAGATCTCACTGCAGTAACTTTGTTTTTAACTTGCACTTCAGTGTGTTTTTTTGGAATCAGGGACCCGGGCCTCGACACGGCCGAGTTTACCCAACAGTATTAAGATGTGTTCTATGTATCTGTGACCTTTGACCTCTCCTTGTGAAACAACAGCGTCATTGTGGTATGTTTTTCGGAGGGGGGATAGCAGGGATCGGGGTGGGTTGTTTAAAAGCAAAATGGTTGTTTTACACTTGGCGTTGGACCACTGCTCTCTCCAGCATTTGTACAGAAGATTTCAAATTGAAATTTTAGATTTAACTGCCCGCTGTGTTGTTTGCAACTGACAGTGATGCTACAGATAAAGCCATTGGAGAAATCTCACTTTTGACTGCATGTTGACTGAAGCAATGGGATCTCCCGAAAATTACTTCAACACTTAAATATCTACCGGTATGCTTTGCATTCCTGGCTTATCGGTTTCCTGGGCTTAGTTGCAGTAAGTATTTGACTTATAGCGAAGACAAGGTCAGATATTTCCAGAAGCTGTAGAATAAAGATAAGTGTTTTATTGGTTTAAAGCTGCAATGGGAAATTTTTATAAAATATAACTTTTTGTCATATTTGCTGAAACTTAGACAAAGACATATAACCTGTAAAAAAAAAAAAAAAAATCAGGTTACTCTTGCTCCTCCTAGTGCTCCTAGTGGCATTTGCAAGAACCCACCGTACCTGAATAAAAACAACCAATCAGAGACAAGAAAGATAGTTGAATAAGTCCAGGTGGTCAAATACTGAAGCTTTAAAGCAGTGGATTCTTGCACTAGGAGGAGCCAGAGGAACCTAATTTCTTTCACAGATTATCTGTCTCATGTACTACTACTCTCTAGGTTGTTCTTTATAAAAAGTTACCTACTGCAGCTTTAAAAGAATAGTTTGACTTTCTCTGGAAATATACTTATTTGCTTTCTTGCAAGAGTTAGATGAGAAGATTGCTGTCACTCTTGTGTCTGTACAGCAAATATAAAGCCAGCACCAGGAGCCTGTTAGCTTAGCTTAGCACAAAATAAAAACGGGGAAACTAGCTTAGGCTTGCGGTTTCCCTCTGTTTCTAGTTTTGCTCTAAGCTAAGCTAACCTAACCAGCCGCTGCCTCCAGGTACATGTTTATTGTACAGATATGAAAGTGTTACCAATCTTTGCATCTTTCAGCAAGTCTATTTCTCAAAATGTCAAACTACTCCTTCAAACAATTTGGTGTAAACATCATGCTTTTGTGTCAGACTTTCAGAATCAAAAAGCAAGAGCTCCAAATCTGACGTTTCGCTACAAAATTCAGTCACACAGGGAGAAACCCATCATGTAAAAGGCACAGGGAGCTATTTCTACACTCACAGTAGCAAAAGTAGAACTGAGTGCCGTGCATAAGCTTCTGCGCTAAAAAAAACAGGAATGCATTCCACATCACAGGTTGAACACGTAAGGGTGTTAGAAGATCTGAGGGAAATGTTCTTGTTACTGCAGCTCTTTTGTTCAACATCTACATGAAAATGTCACTTTTATTTTGAGATTTAAAGGATTTTAGCAACACTTAAGTTCTCTGTTACAGACTTAACATACTGATTGGGTAGAACATGCTAGAAAAGTGCTATAAGCACTACTAATGCTTGATAACATCATTAATGGCTGAGAAAATTAATGTAATAAACATTAAACACAGTTTGCAGCTAATAGTGTAATAATCCTGTAAACATACTGTATTTCTCATCATTTTCTGTCTGTTGTCCGTTCCAAAAGCTCAGTAAATGAGCTCAAATTAAAGTCAAAAGAGAACAAATACAGACGGAATATACTGTTAATGGTTTACATTTCAAAATAATGTAACAATAATTGTGTTCACAGGAAAAAAAAGTCATTATATTAATGGTAGACATCCTGTATTTCATTGACCCATCACCCCTCAGTTTCCTCCTAGGTAGCTTTAAAATGAGGAGCGCTTTTTCTTCCCCTCATTGTATTTCACAATAACTGTATCTGCGTGTTTGGATGCTTCACTGAAACTTTATCACACTTAAAACTTGTCTTTTTCGTGTTCACATTTCAAACATGAGAATGTAGGATTATTCCACTCTTAACTGCAAAGAGGGTTTTGCTAATAGCAGTTTTTTACATGAACAGCAGTGACATGTATGAAAGGAGATTTCTACAATGGCTAAATATTTATCATTGTAAAACTTTTTCAGATGTATGAATGACCTGAATTTATGTGAACATGTCTGAAAGCGTGTGTGTGTGTGTGTGCCTGATGCATGGAAGGCCTGCTGTGTTGTGAATTCGAACTCTCTGAAACACTGAGCTGCCGGTCAACAGTTTGTGTGTGACTCTTTTTACTGGAACTATTTATTTCTCATAACCATCGAAAGTAAATTTAATCTGTTTCATAAACAGTCTGTGCAGCAGTCATTCTTTGAGTGGTGAAAGAGTATTATTACCAATTAAATGAATATAGTAATTCTGAAAAGTTATTCATTTTATTCCAAAAAACAGTAACGGTTCTTTCAACAAAACAGCAAAACACAAGCAAACACTGAAAATACATTTCCATTAATATCTCTATAAAAATAACCAGGAACCATTTTACAAAAAAAACTTTTGTGCAATTTTGACCTGGAATGTCTATTAAAACCGGCTTTAAAGCTTAATACATTTACACAAGTCTTATTGAAGGCACAGCTGGTACAAGGCTTAAAGGTACAGTGCATTAAAAAAAGCATGAAACTATACAGAGATTTTAAAAAACATTCACAGTAAAAGAAAACGGCAAAATGAAGACTTATGCATGATTTTAGCGCGCTGGCTAGCAGGTGCTCTGCTAGGAGTCAGTGAAAGATTCACCTCACATGGCCACACTGCTCGCTCAAACAATCTAGATCTGTAATAATGTATATCAACTATTAAAAAAGAAATCTAAATATTATCCTGAGAGAGCCATGTGTCCCTCATCATACATTTCCCATCACCCAAATGACACAATTGGGTTGATAAATGAGACGCAGCCAATGATCTCACAATAAATTGTTCACATTTTGTACATTTTCTTGCAGGGACTAAGATGAGAAGATTGATACCACTTTATTTTTGTGAGTCAAATATGAAGTTACAGCCAGCCGCTTGGTATCCTGAGTACGCCAGATAGTTTGTTACACAGAACAATGTGGAAAGTCATAGTCAGAAACTGTTTGAGACAGGGCAGCCCGTTCTTTGCTCTACTTGCAGTGAAGAAATACTCTCTAGTTGTGATATAATGTATGCTGGCAGCAACTACACTAAACTCTTTAGCAGCCGCCATTGTTGTTTAAGAGCAAACAGTCACTTCTGAAACACGTCCTCACAAACACCTAGCATTAAACCACATCCGTTGCTCATGCCAGAGCTGCCAGTTGCAGGCTCTCTGGGAAAACCAGGGATTAAACCAGGAACGCATTGCTTGAAGCCTGGCAAAATGGATTCTGCCTCACAAGGTTAAGCAGCTGGTTAGCTTAGGATAGAGTCAGGAAACAGCCAGAACAGCTTTGTCCAAAGTTATCAAAATCTGCCAACAACCCTTTAAAGCACACTAATAAACATTATATTGTTGTGTATTCCATTCATAAAACTGTGTAAAAACTACACATTGTGGATTTACAGAGTTTATGTGCTAACTACTTTGTCACCATCAGACATCAGACAAGCTGTTTCTCCATTTCCAGTCTTTATGCTAAGATAAGCTAATTGTCACCTGGCTGCAACTAATATTAAGCTTACATTCAAGAGAGTGATATCAATCTTCTCATCTAACACCAACTCTCTGTAAGAGAGCAAATAAGTATATTTCCTTCATTTGTATGTAAGCATGAAGATTTATTTATTTAGAAGCTGTACTTGAGTCTATTACGTGAAATATCTTCTAGATTACAAATATAAAGCCTTCTGGCTCAGCAAGGTCTTGTTATTTTATCTATCGTAATTACATAAAGACAAGGACTTCCCAAGATCTACATTGTTTGAGTCAGTGGTGTGGATATTGACATTAGTCAGGGCAGTGGGGGGTAGAAATAACATTCATGAAATGGCAACCAGTCTGTATCAATGGCATGAGATGAGATTTAAACTGAAATGAGAAATGTGACATCCTGAAAATAAGAAAACACCAAACACAGATGTAAAGAACATGAGCAGTTGACCTTTAGTGAACACACAATGAAATGTAAATGCAAATACTCTACTCAGAGAGCAAAGCTTCAGAGTTAAGCTCCTGTTTCTTCATATGATAAATGCAAAGGAACAGGTTTCAGATGAAAGTGTAATTTCACTCCAAGAAAGTCAGACTTCTGTGTGGTTCATCATCAGAGTTTAAGGCTGATTGGCTTGGTCCTTATCTGTGCTGATGTGGCCTAGCTCGGCCTGGTTTGGCCCAGTTCCCCTCTGGAGGTCGAGCTGGTATCAGGACTTGTGGGAGCTGGAGGAGAGCAGGAGAGGAGACGGAGCGTCCATGCTGGGTAAAGGCACAGGGATGGGTCCATTCAGCAGTGTGGGGAACTGCAGCGGGACAATTAGAATTAAAGGTGGAAAACACAGCTGATATTTAAAGGCCCAGTGTGTAATATTTAGTAACACCTAGCGGTGTAGTTGTAGATTAGAACCCCCTCGCCTCACCCGTTCCAAGTGTGTAAGAGAAAAAACGTTGGCTGCAAAACTCTTGAAAAAATGCAAAAGGCCCTATAAAGAGCCAGTGTTTGGTTTATCTGTTCTGGACTACAGTAGAAACATGGTGGACTCTGCAGAAGAGGACCTGATCCTTCTGTAGATAAAAATGTCTCATTCTAAGGTAACAAAAACACAACTTTCAGGTTATTATACAATAATGAAAACATACATATGGATATTATATTTTCATTTCTGCCATTAGATCCTCCTAAATGTTACACACTGGACCTTTAACCCTTGGCGTACTATAAATATGATAATAGAAACCTGGAATTGTGCAGCCCAATTTCCCATTTTAGAACACTTTGGCACCCAAGGCAAAAAAAAAACGAAGGCATTGAAGCTGACTGTAAAGATATGATATAATAAAAATTAATTGGATTTTATGAAGATTTTGATTTTAAGAATTTAAAAAAATGTGCAACTTTGGGTATTTACTATTCAAGTTACTGTGTAAAGAATTAGTTTCGTAATTATAGAATCTCACAAATTATTTTGAGGGCATAATGTAAAAAAATAGACAATTGGAAGACTCAGATTTTGATACCACCACTACGTGTTTAAATTCTTCATAGGGGCTTTACAGAGAATTGATGACTTTAGTCATTCTGACCTTACACTGATTTAAACTATATGGTAGTTTAAAACAGAATATATTGATTTATTGATCATTAATGGAAGATTGATATATCGTAATCCCACTATCAATTCTATGCAAATGTTGTAACATCAATGATGATAACAATAATTAATGTTCTGTCTGAATGTTGAAAAGATTGTAAAACCCCCTGACGCAAATTGTGATTTTGGCCGACATAAATAAAATGTATCTTGACTTGAGCTTTTTGAATGCTGTGACAAGCCTGTGGCATCACATGATTTCTCTATTTTCTACAGCTCTCTAGTCTGCCTGCTGCTGCATCACAGGAGGAGAGTGTCCTCTTGCTTATATTACACCTTGGGGACTTGGCAGCACACCAACGTTGTGGGGACCAGCCGGCGTTGTGGGGACAAAAACACTGGTCATTAGATGCCTAACAGTTTATTTTCAGGTTGTGTGTGTTTGTGTCAGAGTTGACATGGGTAGGAGGGGCTCCTGACCAACCAGCCCTCTCCCTTTACCCCCTAGCCAACAGGAAGTTGCCCCCTCTTCTTGTCCACACCAGAACGGAAACATCTGTAGCTTATTTTGAAACCCTGGCACACTGTGAATCACACATACACCACCACACACACAACTGTATGAAAACAGCTATCGAGGTAAATCTGCGGTGTGAAATGAAAGATCCTGTAGTTAGGAGGGAGGGGCTTGCTGTGAATAGATATTTATAAGCAGACAGACATTTTGTATCTGTCACCACCAGAGTAAGCCACTGTTTTCTCTGAAAGGTCAGTCTGTCCTTTTTACACAGGACTGTCAGACTTGAAACCTTTAGAGCTTACTGTAGAACACATTTTACATAATTATCCACCAATGGTAGACCAAGTTGGAACTGACATTTTCTCTCAGTATTGTTTGTGTGTGACTACAGTGTTTTCTAGCATTCCTATACTTCCTATACCAAGTCAGTTCATAAATATACAGTAGAAAGATAAGGAAAATCCACCAAGGTGAAGACATTCTAGTACGCTCTATCTTCTTCAGATTGGAACATCCCAAACGTTACCTGAAAAAGGGGGGCGTGGCTCTGCAGTCGGGCAGGGCTGAGGGGTCCCACTGGACTCAGGCTGGACCAGAATTGGATATTGGAGAGCAGAGGACTGGGAGTGAGCAGCAGACCAGACGGAGTCTACATTGACAAAACCCAAAATGAAACGTCAGAGGATAAATACACCGAGATGGAAATGATGGTGTTTATTCTGGCAAGAGGTCCACAGAGCTGTACATAGTCTGTGGTGAAGTTGTCATATCATTCAGTCTCACCCAGAGCTCAAAGCCAAGTCTGCCCTCTAGTGAACTCACATCTACCAGGCAGACTGACTTGGCAGACTAACTCCATGCAGGTCAGGAAGCTCCACTCATACAGAATTCATGGGATCTATTTTCTTCTGTCTCGTCTTTCTTCTGTCTCATAAGGCCAGTTTGGTTTTCTCTCTGGTTCTGGCATGAGAATATAAGACAGGCAGAAACTAAAAAGTTCAAGAACAGTTTCTTCAGTGCATGAAGCATTAATGATCCGTTTAATGTCAGGAAGCTGTATCAAACTCTTCCTGTGATAAGATACATGGCTGTGCTTCAGCTATATCTAATTGCCAGTCCATCTATAAGTCCAGCCATTTTTGAACCTCAAATTCCTTGTATTCACTGTTTTTACTTACTCGTTTTGCTGATTTACCAGCCAGTTTGAGCTCACAGCTTGACTAGCAAAATACCTGTTTAGTTGACCACTGACCAGCAACCACTATAAACTGGTTTCTGGTGGACAACAGGCATAACTGCAGGGACTTTAATGTAGGAACCAAAATCAGAACCAAATCTGTCCTGGGAAGTTCTTTGAGTCTCCACTCAAAAATAATTCACTCAAATTCTTAGGAATTCTAAAATATTCTCATGATGGATATGTGGATACTTAACCAACAGCTCAGGTGTTCCTTGTAAAAACATACAAAATGTTCAGCGATGAGTGAACAGTTTAGCATACACTTTTATTTTCCGTCAATTATGAACTGTACACTCAGCAGCCTATCATTGCTCAGTCTGGATAAAAGCTGAAAGCCTGAATGTAGTCAGACTGTCCTGGTTTGGTCAGTGTGTTCTTGCCAGTGAATCAGGAGCTTCAGGAACATATGGCTTCACTTATAAACCTCCTCCCTCCCTTGCCTCCTCCCCTCTTTCCGCTCACCTCTTTCCATCTCCCCCCTGTCTACAAGCTTAACTTTCTTCATCCCCCAAAACACATCGTCCTTCTCAGTCATTCCCTTTTCCATAACTTTTTCCTCACCTAAAACCACCTTTATTTACAGAAGGACTATGAGTGAGTTCAGTGGTGTTAATACATGTGCTATGTGTCATGTTTTACCTGTGCAGTGAGGAAGGCAGGGGTCAGGGACCCTGAAGGCAGCGCCGGGCTGTTGAGAGCAATGGAGACTAGGTCACTTCCTGTCAGGAGGAGAGAGGAGGCGGAGATTTCCAAGCCTTTGGGTTTCCTGCTTTTCAAAGGCACACTATTGGCCAAACCCCTCCTCTCTGGCGTCGTTGTGCTTTTTGACCTCACTCTCTCCCTCTGACCAGATGACAGGTTTAGAGGTTGAGCGCTCTGCTCTAACTCGCCAGTCTCTGTGCTCTGGTTCCGTCCCCTCCACAGTGTGTGGGCGGGGCTTTGTGGCGGGGAGGAAGAGCATGAGGAAGAGCAGGCCTGCTGAGAAGATGGCCTGGAGGAATGGAAGGTCTCATTCGAGGATGGGAGTGGGGTGGATGGTAGGGAGGAGTGGCCGCGGTTGGTTATGAATCGGATGACAGAGGAGCTGTCATCATGGTGATCGGATCTGGGCTCCATCTTGATGGGCTGGTGTGGTTCTAGGGAGTGTTGCAGGGAGCTGACGGTGAAGGAGGAGTACAGGCCGGAGTGGAGGTATTGGTTTCTCCCACCCCCATCCTCGTCTTCAGGTTCAGGCTCTGACGTCATACCCCCACTTTCCTCGCTGCTGCGGCCCGACTCCACCATCGCAGGGTCCATCTTCAGAATCTCAGGAAACGACACAAACTTGTAGACAAACTTCTGGCCAATCACCTTCTTGATGATGTTCTGCAAAGGAAACAAGATGTGATTTCTTATTTTAAACCCTTTTTGTACTGTAGTGGGTATCATGGCACTATAGACAACATATTATCAAGCCGCTAAATATTTCAGTAGTTTTGAAATGTTGTGTACTTTGTCATAGTAGTAGCGTAGGGCTCTGCTCAATTTGTCATAGTTCATGTTGGTTTTGTTCTTGCGCAGCCCCCACAGCTTGGCCACTTCCTCAGATTTAAGCAGCTTAAACTCGCCGTCATTGGACGTCCAGCAGATGAGATGTTTGTGGCTTTGGTCGAGCAGCAGCTGCAGCAGGAACTGCCAGAGTGTGATGGAACTCTCCATGACGGGATGACACCAGAGACACAGGCGATCTGCAGAAGAGAATCAAGACTTAATAAAATCAGTTCAATGATCACGTATTGCTTTGTACTGGAAGTCAAAAGAACATCAAAGACGTATTACTTTACAGCACGAATCGGCAAAAGAGCAATGTCCAGAGGAGGAGAGTTTTTGGTAAAAGCAGATGGTGGAAGAAAAGATAATATTCTAATAATAACATATCTGCAGATTTGTCAATATGAGCAACACCTTTGACATTACACATAGTTATTTGATCCACTGTAATTATATTGTATCATAGGTATAGGTACGACACAGAAGACATAAAAGGAAGGGAGAAAAGAAAGAAGGAGGGTAGGTGCACAGGGAGGAGCAGAAATTGTCAACGTCAACATAAACTCAACTTTTCTCTGATGCAAAGTCCACTAAAAACCACAATCATAACAGTGCTGACCATGCCCACCACCCCCTTCTCTGTCTGAGAATTTCCTGTCCTAAACACTGAACCCACAAACTGACAACAACACAAACATGTAAACAACACCAAAGGCTTAAATAATCTATATCTCACACGTATGAACTCATGCTCTTTTGTCTAATGGACTCACAGACGATGGCTGCCGTCCAAAGCAGGATGTCAGCTATAGTAAATACAAGAGTGAGTGAAGCTGCCATTGTCATATACCTTTAAGGAGAGTTCAAATTTAAAGTTGTATTTTTTTGTAGTTTTGCCTGCAAAAAAATCAAGAGGTGGTTTTATTTGCAGCCCGAATTACACTTTTAAAAAAGCGCCACTGTATTTATTGTTATTACACCTTTATGTTTGCGTGTCTCTCTTGTGTGTGTTTGTGTGTGTGACTGAGAGAAAACGAGAGATAGTGGGCTAGACGTTGGTTGGCTTTTGGATGTTTCCATAGTGATAAAGCAGGATGTGGTCAGTGACCTCCTGCCAAGACAAGCACGGGTCCAACTTACATGTTTACCTGGAAACGACTGACAGTCTGTGAGTGTCTGTCTGTCTGTCTGTCTGTCTGTCTGTCTGTCTGTGTCTGTCTTTCTCTTTGGCGTTTCCTCTCTCAAATTAATTTACAAGGTGCCTTATTAGTAGGAAGTACAAAACGACTTACAGCGGAAACAAAAACAACAAATAACTCACTATAACAAGATTTAATTTGCAACCATGACGATATGACAGTCGAGACTTTGCAGTTGCACCAGAAATCCCCATGGCAACCACATCTGCCTCAATAGTGAAGAAAGAGGGGAGCCGAGGGCCTCAAACATTGCCTCCAGAAGTGATGGTTACTCTGCCTACTTTCATAATAACAAGATAATAACAACATACGGTTCAGAAACGTCAAAAGAATCAACCACTAATTCAATATAAAAATAAAGTATGCATCTCTCTTTTTTTCTCTGTCTTTCTAAAAGGAAACCATCCAGCAGAGGGGGGAAAGTGTGTGTGGTGCAAACAATGACCCACCACCACAAACGCACACACAAACACACACAAACGAGTATCCTCGCTTCCCTTTTCCTGCAAGGGTCTGTGTGTTAAGTGATGGAAGAACTGTAGTGCTGTCTGTCTGTCTAAACGAGGACTTCCTGTCATTCAGCTTCAGGGGCGTCTTCCCGGAGAAGGCCTTCCCTCTGTGGGAGGTAGGACGTCCTGTTACTCCACCAGGAACACACACGCTCAAACTCACACACGTATGGTTCTTTATTTGTATACAGATCTTTTTGTTAACACAGCAGATTCAGAAGTTGTCTTTGCAAGAGAAACATCTCAACGCACACACACACACACACTTTCATAGATCCACGACAACATATGGAGAATGCCTCTATGCCCTCATCTGTCTCCTATGTTCACCCTCTGACATTTCACTTTTAACAAGTCTGGGCAGGAGAGAAACAAAGCAGGAGGAAATGTTGTTGTATGGAATTTCAGAATAAAAGCAGTCTGGCCCTCAGTGTTACAGCTTAGAGTTTGACAGTCTGTGAACTCTCTCTCTCTCTCCTTGTGAGTGTAGTTCTAAAAAGTTATACATAACCCATACATGAACATTCTCCCTCCTCACATGTGAATCTATTAGATATAAACTCCACTGTACCCTTTGGACACTCAAGATCTTTAATCCAACAGAAACAAACCAAAAAGCCGCACATGATTCTACATCTATTTTCTCTGGGGCTACTTATTTCTTATTTTTGGAAGTATGTGTGTGTGTATGGAGAGGGAGGGGGGGTTCTGCTGGAACTCAAATGGTTCTTTGTTTTGCCCCAGTGACTCATTTTCAAGATGTTGTCTACTGCCAGCTTCAATCCGGAAGCGCATGGCAATTAGTCTGCGAGTTCCAGACAAACCAGAAAGTCTACTACTAGATTTTTAAAGGAGACACGGCTAATTTTCCAAAGCAGCCGACACACTAACCTCTTTTCTGTCTTATTTTTTTCAAATGTAGCCAAACAAAATTGGGGCAACTTAACGCATGTGTGTGTGCCAAAGAGGAGGACGCATAAGGCTTTAACCCCTTTTACGCGCAGCTTTAACGCTTTTACGCACAGGTTTAACACTTTACGCGCGGCTTTAATGTGGTTTTTAACTTGACAGTGAATATCCGAACCTGATCAGCTTTCAACAAACACAAAAACACCCAATATTAGTCCGCTTCTGTCTCTCTGTAATGCACGAACGCGTCTACAAAGTTATAAGTAGAAGGAAACATAAACTTGCACCTACCCTGCTGTGGATGGCCGCTGCTCCTCTGTCCGTCTGCCCCGCGTGATGTGTGTGTGTGTGTTTGTGTCTTAAAGCGGGGTGTGTGTGTTGTGTTGAGGTTCCATGCTGCTGCTGCTGCTGCTGTCTGAAAGCGGATCCGCAGCTTTTCTCTCTCCTCAGAGCAGGAAGTCGGGACGCGCAGACGGAGAACCGGCGCACTTCCTTTGGCGCAGTATTCCCGTCTGTGTAAACACACACACACACACACACACACACACAACACCACAACCCCAATCTCATTTTCCATACACACCCCTTCTTTAAACCACCTCTCTCATCTCTCACGGCAAACCACACACACTTTCTCTCTTTCAGACCTGCACACACACCCACCTAAACTCGTGCACTTAAATCGCCTACAGGCAGAGGCCTCATTTCCTACATGCACGCACAACCACACACACACACCACAAAATATTTAATTCCGACTACACTGAGCCACTGACACTGACGTCACCTCTTCCTGCTCATACCGGGGAGGGGTTCCTGTTCCTACACACACACACACACACACACACACAGTGCAGCAGGTTAAAGCAAAGAAAATTAATCCGTCTGTTAAGGAGGCACCCGGATCTGTTCCACAAAATCTATATTTAATGAATTAAACTGCCTGAATTTGGGTATTTTGTTGTCCTTACCTATTTTCTAAATGTTTTCCCCTCTGGCTCTGCAGCAAATGTATACTTCATACAGAATTAAGCTGCTTATGTTCTCATAGAATTTAAGACATATCATTGGCTGCAAGAAATAAAATCATGCACCAACAAAAAAAACCTCATGCAGGTGATTACATATTCTGTTTTTAATCAGTGGAGAGGCTCACTACCACAGACACTTTACAAAGACACAGACAAGACAAAGATTGTCTATGCTTGAGATGATGAACCAAACAACTGTATAAATGTGGCCCACATGGACTCATGGATGCAATTAATGGCTCCCAGGAAAGATTTGTTATAGAAATTGGGTCTATCCCATACTGTGGAAACAACACGTGGACTGTGTGCTTGACATAAGTCAGACACATCCTCTTCAGCTCTGCAACTCTGCACTATGGACTATTTGTGCCTGTCAATGTGGGCTCAAAGGCCATGTCAACATCAGATGTGTTGATAATATCCTGCAGTTTACAAGAAAACGCTGCATCTTTAAACGGGTACTCGTGCGGTTTTTTATAGGTGACTCACACGAGACAGATAAAAATAAAAAGGTCAAAGTCTATGCAGCAGATAGCGGATATCCTGACTTTACCCTGTATTGGCCAATCTCCTACAATCCTGGATTGCACATTTCCCATAATGCAGCTCAACAGAATCTTTTCTGTTGACCGTCCTTTTGTCCAGCTTGTAGCACCGGCTTTCTGAATGGTAATCCCCACACATAGCCTACTGTAAACTGAATTTAATGTCTAAAATTAGTCCTACCACAGGTTTTATATATTGTCAAATTAACCTTCAAGAAAATAAGAATAGAAAAGCAGAGTCAGCAAACAGTTCTCTCTCTTTTCCAATCATTTATCTAACTAGTCCTAATTCCCCTGACATCAAATTTTGATACCAGATAAACGAGGCAGAGTGAGTCATCATATTTTATTTCCACCTCTCTGGTGAAGCTTCCGGTTCCTCACGCCTCATTGGCCCCGCCCACGTCTTTGAAACGTCAACAGCGGCAAACTTCAGGCTCCCTGAAGGGAAAATGATCACGGCCCCTGAGGAGCCGCAATGGAGGAAAGTCAATTCAGTTTCAGGAGTGACTCCTCGGGCCAGACACGGACACCGAGCCGCCGCCATACGGGAGCTGATTATTGTGTTCGGTGGTGGAAACGAAGGGATAGCGGAGTACCTCCATGTTTACAACACTGGTAAGATAACGCTAGCTGCACGCTAACTAGCGGGTTAGCGGCTAATGTTTTTAGCATGCGCAGGAGTAAAAACAAAAACACCTTCTTTAAAAAAAAAAACAAAAACGAGCGTTTGTTGTTTATATAAAAGTGCATCAACAACTTTTAGGGTCCTTTATGTTGCGGTGTTATGGAGTTGTTACTATAAACTAGCCACTAACTTGGGCTAGCTAGTTAGCTTCAGGACCTATTATTTGTTGTCGCAGTCGACAGTACGGTGGCCGTGCTGTTGTCTGCTACGACAAAACGGTGTGTTATTAGTTTGGGCAGTGTATGCTCAATTAAAAACAACTAAACTGCAATGAAAAAGTGTGACAAAGCTCCACAGTTAAATGTAGTTTTAAACATTTTATGCAACTCAGGTGCCATTGGAGCTTGAGCCTGTTTGTATTCAGTTAGCAATGTGTTATCACGTTGGTCCGAATGATAAAGCTCTTAAAGTCTGCTGGTGGTGTTTGAGGTAATATCTGTCTAGCTACTGCAGAACAGCACTGTTTGCACACGCTGTTATCCAATGCAGTGTATAAAATGTCTAAAAGGCAGCATTCACCGGGATGTCCTGTCCTTGTCCTGTCTGTCCCTGTCCTGTCTGTCCTGTCCCTGTCCTGTCCCTGTCCCTGTCCAGTCTCCAAGCAGTGGTTTCTGCCTGCGGTGAGGGGTGACATCCCGCCCGGCTGTGCTGCCCATGGCTTCGTCTGTGAGGGCACTCGAATACTGGTTTTTGGTGGCATGGTTGAGTTTGGGAAATATACCAACAGCCTTTATGAACTTCAGGTAATGCCCGTCACGTTTGGTGATCACTGGTGATTCAGCCCCCGTTGCTGTCACAAAGAGAAGTCTTAAGTCTTGACTTTGGTCCCGTGTGGCTCAGGCTAGTCGCTGGCTGTGGAAGAAGCTGAAGCCCAGAGCACCCAGGAATGGCTCCCCTCCCTGCCCTCGGATCGGACACAGCCTAACTCTTGTGGGTAACAGCTGTTATCTGTTTGGAGGACTGGCCAATGATAGTGAAGACCCAAACGGCAATGTACCAAGGTAAGTACCAAGAAACGTAACTGTGACTGGAGTTTGTTTACACCAGAGATGCATAAAAACAGGTGCAGACTGGTTGTTTCTGTCCATAAGTCCTGGGTCTTCTAGTGTTTAATGTAGGGCTGGAACTAACAATTAAGGTCAATAAAAGGCCTGCCACAATAGCTACCTTTGTTGGACGATGTATTGTCCCAGAAATAATTGGGATACATTTTAATGTCCTTTTAAGGCTTACGTTTTATTCCACTGATAAAATAATAACTGTAATAAGGCATGCAAGTACATCAATAAAAACACAAGTGAACACAACCAAAACAATAAATAAAAAGGACTCTCTAAACCTTTGACTGGCTCCAGTGAATTTTGAGCCAATCACAACAGTATATGTAAGAGGTAGTTTCATAAATGAGTTTGACTTTTTACCGTCTTAGGTACATGGGGGACTTCTATGAGCTGGAGCTGCAGTCGGTATCAGGGGCAAGAAGCTGGAGCATCCCAGAGACAAAGGGGGGTGGTCCCTCGGCTCGGGAGTCCCACACCTCCGTTGCCTACACTGGTCTCGGCTCCCCGAAGCTCTACATCTTTGGAGGGATGCAAGGCTGCCGGTTAGACGACCTCTGGCAGCTTGATCTCGGTATGACTTCCTTTTTTGACAGATTATATCGACTTCAGAAAGTTTCAGGAAGGAAAATTCTCGCATTCCTTTAGTTGCTACTGTACATGGAGTTAAAAACAAAGCTGTGGTACGCATAAATTAGAGCTCTTTGGAATATTTAAACTGTCTCATCATGATTACTTTCTTCAGACACAATGGTTTGGTCGAAGCCTCAAACCAGGGGTTCCACGCCCTTTCCCAGAAGCCTTCACTCTGCCACAGTCATTGGAAACAAGTAAGAGATCCTTCATTGTCAGTGTCATATCGCTTTTAAAGCGGATGTCAAACTACAGTGTGTCCCCTCTGTCTGCAGGATGTGTGTGTTTGGTGGCTGGATTCCTGTTCCAGAGTCAAACAAACACATTGATTTAGGAACTGAATGGATCTGCACTAACTCCTTAAGTCTGCTCAACTTGGGTCAGTACATTTCTCGACAAATATCCCACACTCTTATCAGAGTTTTCACACAGGGTGAATCCCCAGAGAGAATCGTTCATGGTTTAGTTGTGACAGAATGTGTGGTTTTTAACATCAGATTTTGTTAGCACCACTTTTAAAACCACTGCTGTGCTTGAGAGGAAAATTAAAGATACAGTGCGAGCTCACTGCTGCCCGGCTTTCCTGACACAGACACTATGAGCTGGCAGAATCTGGGCCCAGAGCAGGAGGACGATATTGAGTCCCAGCTGCAGAGCCAGGGACCACAGAGTGACGACCCGTACGCCTGTTGGCCCAGAGCCAGGGCCGGCCACTGTGCTGCCTCTGTCGGGTCCAGGCTTTACATCTGGAGCGGCCGTGATGGATACCGTAAGAGCTGGAACTACCAGGTGTGCTGCAAGGACCTCTGGTACCTGGAGACTGGTGAGAGCTCAGAAGGAGCCATTATTAACTTTGATTGTAACATTTTAAAAGCAAGTGACTCACGTCAGTGCTAACAAAAAGTACAGTCACTCAAAAATATATTCTGTATTCTGTCCTCAGACCGACCAGCCACCCCAGAGGCAGTGTTACTCATCAAATCCACAGTCAGCATGCTTCATGTGGCATGGCGCCCTCTGGCAGCGGCAGACTGCTACATCCTTCAGATCCAGCCTGTGTGTCCTTCCAGCACTGCAGCCAGTGATCCACCATCCAAACCAGTCCATCCAAGTGGAGCAGATGGACCGCAGGGGAAGAATGAAAACCATGCAGGTGAGAGAGGAGGAGAGCACATATTCATGTATCTATGGACATTTATAAGGATATTTCTGACACTGCAGTAAAAAAATATATATTTTTGTTATACATTTGCATAACTCTCCCTTCTCAGGAGTCCAGTCCCATCAACCTCAAACTGAAGGAATCACTAATAAAGAAGGAAAGGCATCCGCTCAGGTAGAAATTACTTACTTAACATGCTTAAATCTGTAAATAAGGATTATTAAATGTAATAACACCCAGCCACCCAGCAGAGCAACCACAGAGATGTCGGCACTGAATTTGAACACACAGAAGTAGTTTTTTTTTATGGTGCATTCACACTGAGCATGTTTTTACGACGGAGTATTAGGGCTATACTAAGAGAAACATTTTATGTTTGGGGGGAAATTACGAGAATAAAGTCATAATATTACGAGAATAAAGTCATAACATTATGAGAATAAAGTCGTCGAAACATTATGAAATAAAGCGTAACATTAACGAGATAAAAGTTTGATAATATTTACGAGAATAAAGTCATAATATTAGGTCTATGAGAATAAAGTCATAACATTACGAGAATAAAGTCGTAACATTACGAGAATAAAGTCATAACATTACGAGAATAAAGTCATAATATTACGAGAATAAAATTGTGCGTCTGTTCGACAACTTCACCTCTACAGTAAACAAGAGAAGCTGTGTAAAAGAATTAAATCCCTTTTTAGCAAAGTTTTAAAAGATAAGATTTGGCAAATTTGGTAATACTGCGTTGAGAAGGAGCCAGCTGAACATGAATTGTAGTTTGGTGCTCTTCATGCCAGGGTTCAACGTTAATGCTTTTCTTTAAAGTAAATTTTTCACTCTTCCTTTTCCTTAACTTTACAGTTATCAAATTACAAACCTTTTTAGCTGCAGTGTAAGCAAGATTCTGTCGGCTGTTGTTATGACACAAATTTCGTACACTGTGCAGTAGCTCACTCCTCAGCTACTTCCATCAGCTCTGGAAACACAATGTGTTTAATTACTTTTTACCACTTGCCTTGCCTTGGCTTTTACTTGCCCTGGCCAAGAGGGCAACCCTTATTGTTGAGCCCTGCGTGCACTGTTTTTGTGTGTGCCTTATTCTAGCAATGCCTCCTATTTAAAATAAATAAATCCATAATTTTCTCCCTGAACTTCAGGATGCTTCAGCACAGCAGGAAACTACCGTAAAATCATCCAATGGCTCAGCAGAGACCCGAGCACAAGGAGGGAGGAGTGCTGGGAGAGGGACAGTGGAGGACTCTGACACAAAACACTGCAGTAAGTCTCTTTGTTGAGCAAATCAATACAGGATTTTACCCAAGGTGATTTTTCTGTCTGCACAAATGTAATTGTTAAGGACTGTAAAAGATGCAGTGGCAGTAGGGAAACAACACACAGCAAGCTTTTACTCCAGAGCAGCTGTTCAGTCTGAACTACCCTCATCAAATTAGATTTCAGCAGTCTTGTCTTCTCACCACTTCTCCACTGACCTTTCGGTTGTAGGCGCTGTACATGAGACATCAAGAACAGAGGTCAGCGGCTCAGCTCAGCAGCAGCCAGGTAATGATGATGCTCAAATGTCAGCGATAAACCGCACTGCAGCAGGCTGAGGGGTTTAAAGTGTGAAGCTCACTGTGGACGCTCCTTTACTTTCACAGCGGAGCAGCCTGTTTCAGCTGACAAGACGACAGATCTCTACTCCCACACAGATCAGGTCAGATACACCTCAGAGCAGTAATTACTAGCTCTGGCACTCGGCTTGCTCTAAACTATAAACTCTCACCTCCGTGTCCTGCAGAATCCAGATGAAGCAGTGTGGTTTGATGTTGGTGTGTTCAAAACACTCTTCTCTGAGGTCAGCCACTACTTTCTGCCTGCTGACAGCGACCAGACGGTCAGCAGCCGTCCCCAAAATACTAAAGAGGTATAAAAAAAAACAATACATAGTAGGTATTAATTGGGACTCAGTGAAGATGCCCTACACCCATTGTTCTTGCTTATCATGAATTCTCTCACCCACACATTCTCTGTTGATCCTTTGCTCTCCTCCAGAGGAAGCTGCCCGGGCCTCAGGACTACCAGAGCAGAGAGAAGAAGGAGCTGGTTCCAGGTCAGACCTACAGGTTCAGAGTTGCAGGCATCAACTGCTTTGGCAAGGGAGAGTTCAGCCCTGTCAGCGAGTTCAAGACCTGTCAACCTGGTTTCCCTGGAGCACCCTCTGCGGTCAAAATTGCCAAGGTGAAACATCAAGGATACTCAGATACAAAAAGGAAGGAAATTTGATGAATGCTCTGGGGAATGTGAAGCAAATTCACTTTTTCAGACTGAAAATTTTTTTAAAAAGTAAGAAAGAGCTGCTGTATTCCTCATATTTGTCCTCATAATCTTTTTTTCCGCACAGGCCAACGATTCGGTCTACATCACGTGGGAGGCTCCCTCCTCTCCTTCGGGCCGCATCCTGGAGTATTCTATGTACATGGCGGTGAGGAAGAGTCGCTCCACCAGCTCGGAGCGTCCGGGTCAGATGGCCTTCATCAGGATCTACCGCGGCACCAAGATGTCCTGCTCAGTCAGCTCCACCCACCTGGACAACGCCCACATCGACTGCTCCGCCTCCAACCGGCCAGCTGTCGTCTTTCGCATAGCTGCCAAGAACGAGCAGGGCTACGGCCCGGCGACGCAGATCCGCTGGATTCAAGGTGGAGGAGCTTGACTTTTTTTAGCTTGGGATTAGTTTTTGCCAACAGACGTGAACTTCCTATTTTTGTTGTTTTTTTTTAGATCCCAGTAAATTGAGAGCGTCTGCCTCTAAAGCAGACAACAGTGCAGGGGCCGACCAGGATGCTGCTGACAGGTAACCAGGGAGACCGCTCGTGACTTTTGTTCTTTGTCACTCTCTGAACTAGAATTTTTATTGAAGTCTCTTGCATTTCCTTTTTCTTGCAGCTCCAGCTGAAAGTGTTTGGACCAATGAAAGTGTTTTATGGAAGAGACAATATGTGCACTCAGGAAGCTGGCAATGTCCACCACTCATATGATATATATTTCATAGATAATTTTTTTAATTTATTTTTTTATGTATTTAATGTTTCCCTTGTAAATAGATACACATTGCGTGACCACTTTGCTATTTTAGTTACACAAATGTAATAATATGTAATATGATGTAGACCAAACTGCAAGTGATTTCAGACTTCAGGCTCGTCATCATCAGCCACTAATGCTTTAAACAGTATGTCATGGTCCTAAATGAAACACTTGTGGTAAGATATTTAAGGGCCGGTGTACCACGGCCAGTTATCTTTGCAGTGGATTGTTGTTTTATAATCAGATTATTTACTATAATTCAGATCTTTGTTAATGTGTTTTGTCATTGCACATCACCATATGTTACTACAAACATTTCCTGTATCCGTTACACTTCATAATTGTGTTGTACTTCTTTTATCATCATTATTATCATATAAGTTTAAGCAAAAAAAAGTATTTCTGTCCAAAATCAAAAAGTTGATACACTACTAAAGATTCTGATGTGAATTAAAGGTATCAAATATGTGACAGATATTACATAAAGAGATTTGCGTGTCGACACCATTATTGTCTCCGGTTATTGTCTCACATTTAGTGGACAAGAGGTCTTATTATTCTCTTCCTTTGTCTCCTCCATCACGTCTGGACTCAGATCCTTACAGACCTCTTGAACCGGTGTTATGAACCACACGGAGAGATTGTTATCTACACTTCTAATCATTGAGATCAGAGCTGCAGCTCTTCATTTTCTTGCTAAAAAAGGATGCGTGTGCTCTCTTCGCCCTCTTCATCAGTCTGCAGGAAGGGTTTACACATGGTGTATTGTTCAGCTGTCTCTTTCTGCATTTAAAGCAAGCAAGCTGCAGACTCATTATTTCACTTGAAGATGGATTAAGATAAGGTTAGACTTTTATTAATCTCTGTGGGGAGTCTTAATCGTCCTCAAGAGGAAATTCCCTTCACCACATTGCACATGCTTCACTCATGCACAAACCGCAGATCATCATTTTGGATGCAGTGATTGTAATAAAGGTGAATTTGTTCTCTAGTCGAGATTGAAAAGGGAGAACAACTGTAGGACAATATGGTTTGCATCCTGCTTTTACAAAGCAGTAACCAAAGTGTTAAATGAGAAAGTCTGTTGAGTCTGTGGATGATCACCATTACTTATTGATTTAAGTAAGGTAGAGATATGCCTCTGCTGTGGGTTGATACCCAGTAAGGATGAATTCAACAACAGTTTCTTCAGACACCTTATAATTACTGAGGTAGGTGCAGTTTAGTTCCTGGAGCTTTTCCCGGTTTGAATCAACTCGGCTGACTTTCACATGCACAAAGTAAGAAGAGCGTGTTGGTTTTTGGGTGGGTATAATTTCACTTATTTGTGCAATAAACACAGTAAAATATTGATTTGCTCACTTTGCTACTTACTGTTAGTAACCACTGGCCACTAATATGTGTATAAATAAAAATGTACCATTATATGTTAAACCTATTCATTCATTTTGTAGAGAAGGGTTTACAAAGGTGATACATTATCAGTTCCATAGTTACTATAGTAGGTAGTTATAATATATTTCTGTGAGTTATATCCTAACTAGTGTGCTGTTATGTACACAGCCAGTCTCAAAGTCTGTATGAAAGTTGTCATTTTCAACGAGAGAAGTGCACGCCGGGAAAACATTCCCATGATCCCACAGTTTGTAGTTTACAGATTAACGCTAGCTAGCTAGCGCTGGCTAGCAAAACAAAGTGGAAGAGCAGGAGAGAAAAGGAGACACAGGTCAACTAGAGGTGAGAGGCTTTCGGCAGACAGCTGCTCCAGTGTGTAAAGTAGATGGCAGTGTAGTTTAACAACTCGTGCCTCGGGTTGTATTTAACGTTAGCAAGCTAACTTCAGTTCTGCTTTACTTGCCAAGTTGCTGCTAAAGTTAGCTTGGGGCGTTAAGTCGCTCCGAAGTGTGTTTGACTCGTAGTAGTTAGTTGTTTACATTTCAGTTCGAGGAATAATGTGTGAATCCCGATAGCTACCGCTCGTCTCAAGTCTACTGTACCGAGTTTGAAAGGAAGATGTCATGCAGGTGGTTCGTGTCCGATAACGGACGCACTAAAGTAGCTAGCTGGCTAGTTAGCATACGAAGTCGCGGGACACAGAGCGCGACATTTAAAAACAGCACAATGCGTTGGAAAGCGTCAGTTAGCAGCTCCTGAACTATGACGAGCCCCCAACTAGTCTAATGACATCATGAATTATAATCATAACTGTCGACCCACAGACACACAAGACTCAGTGTATCTCCAGGGTAACACACACACAATGTTTGGTGACGCATGCCTTGGAGCTATGTTTCTGCATATGAAACTACAGTGTGCGCCAGTATAAGTTATTTTTGTGTAAATGTATGCAGCCCGAGTGTCGTTGATGTGAGAATTGACAGGATGCTTGATGTTAAGTGGCTGAAGTGGTTCATTAGTTGCAATCAGACCGTGTATCCACAGCAGAGCCAGCAGCCAGGGAGTGGAGCTAACTAATCACTTGAGATTGATTCAGAGCTCTGCCTTGACTGCTAAGAGGTTGTGATTTTAACAAGTAGCTGGGGGACTCTTCTCAAAGCCACCATGGTAACTAACTGACAACAAAGCCCAGCCTAACTGTTGCCCTCTTCAAGCACCTCACCACACTTGCAGTGAGTGCATGCAGTTCTTGTCACTGTCAGAGGACTGAGCCTGCTGTCAAACGCTATTCCCTATTCTTTCCGATAGACACGCAGCCGTCCGTTTGTTTGGTTTTTCCAGCTTTTCTTTATCTCGTCCTGTCACTGGTTCGTTCCTGCACAGGTGAGATGACCACCTCCGCCTTTGGCCAGTCGGCCCCTCTGGTCCCGAACCTGGAGCCTGGGATGGGGAAGTCTGCAGCCATGCTGGGGTTGTCTGCTGGGTTGGGGGGAGCAGAGATGGAGCTGCAGAAGATGTTAATCAATGAAAGAATGAAGTGTGAAAACCACAGGACCAACTACCAGACGCTCAAGGCTGAACACGCCAGGTACAGAGTCTGATTTTAAGATGTCATTTTTTCAGCATGCATCAGTTTCCCTGTCTGTTGGTACACGACTGAGCCCTAATATCTTTTTTTTTTTTTTTTTTTCAGCTTACAGGATGAGTTCACCCGAGCGCAGGGGGAACTGAAGCGCCTGCTGAGCGACAGACAGGCTCAGCAGGAGAAACTGCAGCTGCTGTTGGCTGAGCTTCGAGGAGAGCTGCTGGATAAAACCAGGGAGCTGGAGGAGCTTCGGCTGCAGGTGAAACCAACCTCCAGAGGGAGAAAATCTCTTGTGGGACTGAGAAATCCTTCTGCTCTTTGGTTGAAGAAAGGACACACTTGTTTATTGTGTGGCTGAGATTACTATTGTTATATTTTTTTTTAATTACTTCTGTCCAACTAAAGTTCCACTGATTCAAATGTGTGTGTGTGTGTGTGTGCTGAGCAGGTGATGACCCCTCAGCGGCTGGAGTTGCTCAGAGCTCAGGTGCAGCAGGAGATGGAGGCTCCAGTCAGGGAGAGGTTCAATAAGCTGGAGGAGGTCAGTCACTTTGCCTCTGTATCATACATCAGTAGTGTGGGGAAGCAGTGTCAGTTTCTTTGTATGAAAGCTGCAGTAGGTCAGTAGATTCTCAAATACTCTGTGCTCCTAATGGCGTTTGCAAGACTCCACGCCGTCTCAACAGACCAAAGCATCGGTGTTTGGCGACCTGGACATGAGACTCACACAATCACGTATCTTTCTTGGATCTGATTGGTTGTTTTTGTCGCGGTGGATGTTCGATAAGGAGCGCTAGGCGGAACCTGATTTTTTTCCACAGACTCTCTGTCTCATGTCAGGATTTAGTGAAAGTCTCAGCAAATATGACAAAAAGTAATTTCCCTAAAAGTTGCAGACTGCAGTGTCAGTGACAGTTAGGAGCCATCAACTTCTCTGTTATGTCTAGGTATCAGTTCCTCCTGTCATTATGTATTAAATGTCAATGAAATACTATTGTCTTTCTTTCTCAGATTTGTAGAATCTAATTTTAGTATTAAACCTAGCTTGACATGAATGTTTGTCCTGCCCAACAAAGATGCTCCAAATTAAAATGAATGGATGCACTAATTGATTTCAAAGGGATTGACCATGAACTTAAGATAAGATAAGAAAAC